CACCAACCCACCAACCCACCAACCCACCAACCCACCAACCCACCAACCCACCAACCCACCAACCCACGCGACTAATTATATCTTCTTGACAGGCACAGGTTTATCAGATGTTAGTCATATCCCAATGACGAACTATAGATCAAGTATTATTCCCGATACTTCGATTTCCGCAGCTGTGACCCTTGCATCCCACGGCCCAGGCACTCTTAAAGGATCAACCAGAAAACCCAAAATCAACCTTGTGAAGACAAAATTTTTTGAAGGGGATTTCTCGCACTCAGTTGTAAGTATTCAATTTTTTTTTTTTTTTTGTGCTTAAAAAATAAACATAATACATTCTAGTTTAGTTTGAGTACAAATATATTTTTGCTTTTTTAATGTCTTCCTTATATATGGAATTGGTTGCGAACAAAAAAAGCCAATGTACCTCGTTTTTCGAATTGAAGCAAATACGACTTAGAAAGGTAATTGAGATACTGAATATTTCTTTTGAGGTCTTTTATCGAAGTTTTAAAGAAGAAAACGAAAAAACGACGTTCTTATTCAAACACTTTTGTAATAACGAGAGAGCTGAATGGAATCGTGAAGTTGAGGTCATCGACAGACTAAGAAAAGATGGAGGTCACCCTAATATAATAAAACATTTATGGCATTCACCAGGTAAGATATATTAAGTCAACAAATGATTCAAAATAATGATAAAACGTTAAGTATTACTGAAATGATGTAATAACTTGTAGGCTGCCGGACTAAAGTTTAACAAGGGCTTATAGAAATATCATTAAGCGCCGGCATTTCGTAACAATCTAGTTCTCTGTAACCTAAGCAAGCCTGTAAATASTCCACCAAAATATTGATATGTTTTGAGCTTCCTTCGTTTCACTTTATTAAAGTGCAGTTTTTTTTCTTCTTCTTCTTTTTCCTTCTTTTATTCAGTCCAAGAAGCTCCAGTCTTGATAGACCTCACGAACCTCGAGTCCGTGCAGGAGCATGGATTGTAAGTTTGTAAAAAAAAGTTTGTCAATATCAAATAGAGGCATTCCACTATTACGGTGATGGCAGCCATGACAGGAGGCAGGAAAAATAGATCGATACTTGCGCGCAATGCTTGAGTGTCTACACAAACAATAGGTAGTTTTCCAATTGCAATTACAGATATAACAACAAACACGAATTCATTAGAAAATTTTAATTAGTTACCAATTTTTTTCTTAATGTACTTTTAGAATGCATTATTTCTAAGACAGAAATTTACATTCTTAATGTACTTTTAGAATGCTTTGATTCTAAGATTAATAATTACAGTTCTCAGCAATGTGTTTCTGTTCCATGCTGTATATTAAAAACACATTTTAGCTTGTCTGAAGTAGCAGTAACTAGGGAAGTAGAACAGTAAATGTGGGATCGTTGTATTGAGTTGTATTGTCTAATGTGGTTTATATGAGAAAGAACTCAGCTTCGCCTCCTTTCAAAACTGACATCACCTTATGGTGCAAAGTCTCTATACTTAAATATTACTCTCTTAATTTATCTATTGGTGTTTTCGCCTTATATTAAGCTATTCTAGTATAACCTGCTATACAAGCTCACCTACTATTGTTTAAAAACTCAAAGCGCATACTCAACATACAATAAGGCAATAAATAATCATGTGATCTGTCAATGCAGGGTCTTTATTGGGTACGAATAATTAGAATGTACTCATTGGTTAGGGAAGTGGGTCGGCAAATTCAATTATGTGAAGAGTTGTTTTCTTGTTAAAATGTTACAGTTTGATTTGCTACGAATTGGTATCCTGTACCACTCTTGATGAATATATCAGTAAACCGGAAGCTGCTCTTGTTACTCAAATCGTACTAACCGTAGCAACAGACGTCATCAATGCACTCTCATACCTTGAACGGTGTGACCTGAGACATAATCACGTGTCAGCTAAAAATATATTGGTCAAAGAGACCGTCATGGTAAGAAATTGTCAAAGGTTAATTTATTCTTGGTATATATTTAACAGTTATTCCACTCACTCTCGTCGTAAATGGACTCATAGCTGACGAGACCTCATAGATCACACTGGATTACAAGAAAATATCGCTATTTTAAATAACTGATAAGAAAGATATTTTAGAAAACGTGTCAATAACTGCACGAATGAAATTGAACCATGTTTTGGTTTCGTAAACTGAGCAATCTTGCAGTCTAACGGAGCTGTTAAATTGCTTTAAACAAGTAATTAGCTCTCATTTAGCCATGCTTTAGTTATGTATGTATTTGTTAAATTTAGAAATGTTTTTCAGCTGTTCTAGAAACGAGCAATTTTTTTATTGTTATTAATTTAAAAATATATGATTTGTTTTGTGTGTTGTTGCTAGGTTCTTGTTTGTTCATCCTCAATGTTTTCGCGATTTTCTTTTCGCGAGAAAAGTAGAGTTAAGTGTCTATTTTAAAGTAAATAAAGATTAGCGTTTCTTACCACCAAATACTTTTAAGCCATTGTCATTTCCCTCGGGGTGTTTTTTGGTGTTTTTTGGTGTATTTGTTCGGCGGCCATTTTGAATTTTCTCTTCTTATGCTATATGAGCTGATAGGTATAGAGTAGTCAATAAGAGCGCGCTATTGCTCTTATCCAGTGGTTGTCTATATAATAAATATATATTACTTTGGGCGTATATATCTTGTTTTCCCATTTCGGACCACGCGTTATTCCCTAAAGTAATTTTTCTTTCTTTAACGGCTGCGCATGAAAAGACACATGAATGAGGTTAAAAATCAATAAACAAAATTACTTATTTTCAAGAGAATGAAACCTATTTTGAAATATGGGTTGAACGTTCCCGCAAGGTAGAAAGGACAATTGTTTTTATAGTGTGGAATATGAATAGCTTTTTTTGGGAAGATTGTCCACATGTAATAATCTGTATTTTAAAACAATTTACTTCTAAAGATTTGACAAAGCTTTAAAATATATTAAGTAAATTTTTTGCACTATCAATAAATATATGTTTTTACCTAGGTTCCTTCGCTACGGGCAGTTTTGGGTGGATTTGGTCATGGAACCTTCGTCAATTCACACAAGAAAACAACCGCACGAGAAGAAGATAAACCAAATACTGATATCGTACAATACGGGGTACTGGTGGAGCAGCTACTAAATCTTTCCCCTAATGCTGATCCAGATCATCAGGTAAAGGTTTATTTGGGCCTTATGCATTTTGATAGACGGCGCAATCAGTAAAGAGTTGCTGCGACCTCAAGATTACAACGTTAACACGTTCCTCTTAGATGCGCGCGCATATGAATTCCATTGGTTTTCGTCCTCGTCAATCACATGCGCGCTCTACCAGAATAAAAAATACCACTAGTCTAGTGGTCAACTGCTATATCATATCCAATTTTAAGTCCGCTTCGAATTATCCAGCTTGCAGACCTTATTCATCTTTATACAGCAATCTTAATCTTTGATTTTCATTGCAATTCTCTAACTGATATCCTTAAAAAGTTCTTTAAATCCATCTCTGATGTACATTCTTACAATACCAGACTCTCTTCTTCTCTCTTCTGCGCCTTATAGTAATAAACAAAGAGAATAGTCAACAAGGCAAAATATTACGTCCAAGCTAAGGAGATTGAACACGTTCCTTTTAGATGCGCGCGCAAACGAATTCCATTGGTTTTCGATCAGGATATTAAATGACATTAGTACAGTGGTAAACCATTAAGTCTGATTTCCCCCCTCCCTCTTCAAAAAAGCAACTCTTCCCTCTTAAATTCTAATAAAATCTTTCGGGAACTTCTTCATTTGTATATTAAGAGATCTCCTCGGAAGTAATGTTTTGCTCTTTTCATATTACGTCCCATTCCCCTGAGTATTATTTCTTTGTTTGGATTTAAATGAAACAAAGAATCCTATTCCCAAAGGAATGCCACGTGGTCTGAAATAGTCAAAATAAGCCTAAACTGAAGAGATCTATATCTGTCCGGGCTCTCTTTTTATAAAATTTATAATGTCGTTAATAATAAATTTAATCTAAATTTGCGTTTTTGCTTTTTGCTTTTGTTGGTTTTTATGCCCCAGTAGTGGCTCAATTTCTAGCAGTTTTTCTCCTGGTTCTCCGATTTTCCTTCCTCCAAAAAAATCAACTCGTAAATTCCAATTCGATATAGGCTTGCTAGCCACTGTCTAGTAAGTGCTACCCTCGTAAAAACAAGGAATTCCACCTTCACTTTAAGAAATCAAGGATAAAGATTACTATAACATGCTAAGTTTTAAAATAGAACATGGGCTGAAGAAAAATATTTTGTTTGTGACGGGAAAAATGCTTGTAAAGCTTTGTTGTTTTGTTTTCAAAATTCATTTTAATTCATTTGGTCTACTAATAAATATTTTCCCCGTCACAAACCAAATATTAGGGACTTTAAGATTCGCAAAATCTACGACGGCGACGTCAGCCTGAAGTGTTAATAATTTCTCCGATCTTTGGGGTTCTGTTCATTGCATATTTTATTCAGGACATTGTAAGTAAAGTAAACTCATTCACGGGGAAGGCAAACTTTGAATGCGCGAAACCCCAATGTAAAGTCGTTTACACTTCCGTTAGACGTCGCCGACTAGATTTTGATTTTGCAAATATTAAAGTCCCTATTCTCCTACAGCACATGAATAGATTTGAAAATATATTTATATATATTTAATTTCTCACAAAGATTAAAGAAATTTCTACAAAATGTCAAGAAGAATCGAATACTTTGACTGCGACAGCCGTGCGCAATATGATGCAGGAGGTCTGGGATGGAACTGGGACTTGGGACACTCTTCTGTGAAGTGCCACGTGATTTTGTGCTACTGTTTGTATTGCATTGATCGAGATAACTGTATCGACCTGATGCAATATACACTAACGTCATTCAGATAGATAAATAACTCTAAAATATAAATACAAATATCTGCTCTAAATAAGAAAATGCGTAATGAAGATTACTTAATTATAATTAAAAAATGGGACTTTCGGTAGCTAATCAAAATGCGCATGTAATCATCGTTGCAGAAGGCCTTTGATCAGTGACAATAGCGTCTAATTTCAAGAATAAATATTTCAGATGAAACAAGTTATAAAATTTAAGATCTTTAGCGAATTTTAAGCGTAAGTTTTGCTTTCCGTTTTGCACGCGATTGCACTTTCATTTTGACTATACGTTCATGATTGCATTCACTCGGACTTCTTAACTTGGAATGAAATTCAAGAAAAGTACTGGATACAAAGATTTACTCCCACGAAACGTTAGTGAAACAAATTAAGATACAAGAAGTAAGAGATATAAGCCTTAGAAACGTACGGTTTCAAGATCATATTGCGGTTAATTAGTCATATATCTTGGAAGCTGTGAATATACAGCGGCACAGAGCTCATGCACCTTATATCCCATGGGACCAAACATGATCATTTTACCTCGGAGATTGTTAGGAAGCCCGAGTAATAAAAGCCTTTATTGAATGTTGGGTGCGTCAGAATGTGCTGAAACATATAATGTAATAATAATAACAATAATAATAATAATAATAATAATAATAATAATAGTAATAATAATAATAAATTAAGTTGCAATATAGTGGGATTTATTTAGACCATGGAATAGTTGATAGACTAATAGGTACAACGTTAAAATGTATTCATCGTTGGCTTACCTTCTGCCGTGGATGCAGTGCTCATTAGATTTCCCTTCAAACCTTATCTTTGATTACGACCTGCGTGATCGTTGGCGCGCTTTCTACTGTTACCATTTTTACCCCTAAAGCAGCCATGAAACGAGCACGCGCGGAATGTTATCATGACTTTCTGGGTGTGATTCCTAGGTGAGAAACATTATGAATGCACCCGGGTCGGCAGTTGTCTATTTAAGCGAGAAAATCCAAGGTTTCGACCTCATTTGCTCAGATTTGCTATACCAGTCAGTGCTAGACGGATTTTTGACCGTTTACCCTGCTCCCCTTCGGCGACGTTTCTCCATTATAACAGTTCAGTCGGGTGGCTTAATCACAGCCTCGGTAAAACTCGTGTTCCCAAAACTGAACCGCTTTTTTGAGGTAAATGGCTGCTTTGGCGGTGAAAATGATATACTGTGCGCTGTGTTCTTGTTGGAAAAGGCTGAGTGTAAAACTTTATCAAACATTGTTTTTATTAGTATCATTTTAGAATACGAATAAGGTGTTTGTTTCTTGAAGTTTTTAAAATAGAATTGAAGAACGGTAAACTCGATGTTTCGACGCCCTTCGGCGTCATTTTCAAGATGAAAGTAAAGCAAAGCAGTAATTCAAATTCAATTTATTACTTTGCTTTACTTTACTCTTGAAGATGACGCCCGAGGGCGTCGAAACCAGAGGGCGTCGAAACGTCGAATAGACTAGTCTTCAATAGTATCATTTTACTTGATATTTCTCAATGAAGCGCAGTCTTTATACCGGTGCAACAAAATCGAAAAAAAAGATTGTTTATACTAATTGTTTTTATATATCGACAAAATAATTAATATCACTCAAACAGAACATTCTCTATTTTATTGTATGCATGGAGGTATATGTATTAAACAAACACTAGTCTAGTAACTACCTATAAGAAACAAGTATTTTATTCATGTATTTTATGCACTGTTATTTTTTAGGAGTTGATATAACTCCAAAAGTGGAGTAGAAAAAAAAGGTACAGGATAACTCCTTTTTTGGAGTAACTTTAACTCCACTGATTTAACTCCCTTCCAAGAGTAAAATTTACTCCCATGAATAGTAACGTTTACTCCCATGAAAGAGTAACATTTACTCCCATGAAAGAGTAACATTTACTCCCATGAAAGAGTGACTTCTACTCTACATGGGAGTTGTTTTGAACCCCCTAACAGAGTCAAATTTATCCTTTCGGAGTTGTTATAACTCCCTGTTTGTCACCTTTCAAAGGAGTAAAATTTGCACCTTTTCAGGAGTAGATTTTTTCTTGTCTTGCTTATTAAGCTTCATCAATTCCCACTGTACGTTAAAGAATAATAACACAAATGACTACAAAACTACATTTGGTTTAAAAAATATTTATTACATATAAATGCCGAATTGATAAGTATATTTARTAACAACATTTTATGTCGCCTGCGTTCACTGCATGACATAATCTCTACTCATACTTCTTCATTTTTCAGTTACAGTCAAACCAGCTAACGTTCCTATCAAGGCTAGAAGATTCAGTTAATTATTTAGAATCTGATTTCGAGTTTGTTTTGAAGCTTGTATTTAATAATACGTGCTCAGATAAAAATCGTTTTATGTCTTCACAGATTTGTGCAAAACCAAAATTATTTCACTGTTGTATAGCTAYCAACTCAAACCCATCTGTGTGGTGTGATACTTTGAGTTAATGCCGGGATCGAAGGTCATTACAACCGCCAATACAAGTTTCAAAAAAAATTCGAATTCAAATTTCTGTCTATATCGTTAATGAGCATGTTTGGCGCCATCGAGCGCCATCGACAAACA